TGGTGGAGGTGGTCCACCTGACCCTCCTCTCGTCCCCGCCTCCGACCGTGCCAATAATTGGTCGGTGTTGTGTGTGTTTCAGATGCGGTTGGAGGGCAAGGACTCGTACGACGAGAACATCCACTACCCCCTGCTGGTCACTCTGACCAGAGCGGCCGAGGGCGTCAGCAGAACTCAGTGTTAGAACGGACACGGAGCACGGCCCGTCGTCCGTCCTGTGGACGTTGACCTTCTGACGACCTTACTGACTGTTCTGTTCTTTCCCACGGTCCAAGGTCAATGTTGAGAAGTGGAACCTCATCACTGTCCCCAGTGGTGGGACGGGCCTGGAACTTTTTACAGTGCGTGTCAAAGGTCATGACGTGGTCCAGGACTGGTCCAGTGGTGTTGACGTCACTGTCACTGTACTAACAACAGTGCAGTGACAGGATGGACACACAGGTGTCACTGTGTCCAACTCTTCACTGTGGTGCCCCCCCCCCTCCACCTCCCCCTTTCTTTATTCTTCCCACTGTCCTTGATCCAAACACGACCTTTGAACTGTGGACTAGACGTCAGTGTCACCGTAGTGATGATGGGTTTGAACTGTACGGTCCAGCAGTGAGTGTGTGTGTGTGTGTGTGTGTGTGCTTGTTCTTCATCCTCACTCAGTGCTATGATATAACAGTGTTACTGTGACAGCAGTGATTTATTACCGTTGTTATTACTGCTGATAATAATGGTAATAACATGGAATCAGTGTTTACATGAGGCTGACTCTGAGTCAGAATAAAAACAGGACTTTGTTATGAAATGTAATGAAGAGTGTGTGTGTGTGTGTGTGTTTCTAACACACTTTTATTGGTTTTCTTTTTCACTGATTTTTCTTCAATAATCCTCTGAACCCTGTGGTCTCCACTGCTGCACCGTGTTGACACTCCGTCACTGCTGACTCTGACGTCAGTGTCACTGTGACACACTGATGTGTTGAAGAATGCTGGGAGATTAGGTAAAAACTGTAAACATAATAAAAGGGTTGGAATCAGGTTTAATGGTGGAAAATACAAAAACTACCTACCAACCATTTTCATCCACTTATCCGTTACTGGGTCCACCTAAACCACACTGCACCATACCAACCCCCCAAACCTTCCTGGAGGTGGTGAGTCCACTGGAAGGTATTAACCTCCCTAACTGGGATTCGAACTTGCCCAGGAGATGAACCCTGGGGTTCAACACCAATGACAGAGACATTGCCTCTGGGCCAAAGTGCCACATACAAAAACTAACCATGTGAAACTAGATGGAAACAGCAGGAAAAGGCTTCATCTCTGAAAGAAAAGGCACTGAGTGAGAGTGAGGGGGGGAGGGTGGGGGGGAGAGGAGAGAGAGAGAGAGAGGGAGAGTGTTCCCGGCTCCACACAAGGGCCCCATTAACTTGACCACTTGCCCTTTGCACACAAAGGCAGGGCCGGCCCACTGCCCCTCCCACCCAATTATCCACGATTAGGCTCAGTGCACTGTGTCAAGATGGAGAGGGAAGGAAGTGGAGAGGGAGGAGAGGAAGGAGGTAGGAAAGGAAAGAAGTGGGGGAGGCAGAGCAGTAGAAATGTTAACATAACAACGGCCTAAATCAAATCTGGATACTACATAAACGAGTACTACTGCAGTACTACTAGACGACTGCCTCAGTTTAACTGAGCCACATGTTTCAGTCCGTCAACGTCAGCGTCGCTTCAGTGAGGAGCACTGATTAAAATGCTAATTATCAACAAGCTAAACAGTCCTGGACTTCAGGTATCAGTGGTCGTGTACGCTGACCTCTGACCTCTGACCCACAGAACTCTGTCTTCACGTCAACCACACGTCTCAATAAAAAAATATTATTATTAATATTATTATCAAATGTCCACCTCTTGTTAGTGACCATAATCTGCTAGAACCTGACCCCTGCCCCCCCGACCCCTGCTCCAGTCCCCTACCACTGGACAAGATGATCAACATCCTGTTAGCCGGAGGTCGCTTCAAACTCTGTGAAAGAAATGGTAGAAATGTGTCACAAAAACAAGGTACCTGGAAGTGATGGTGGGGGAGTGTGTGTGTGGGTAAGAGTGGGGGGAGGGAGTGGGTTAAGTGAGGTGTCAATTATACAGAATGTAAACACACATCAATATACTGATGCTAACACAGGCGCTTATAGCAACCAGCTGCTAATTAAGAGGCTGCTCTGTTGACAAACACTCCAGTGATCACTGATGATGAGGAGGAGGAGCAGGAGCTGTTAAAGTTGGTGAGGAGGTGCTGCTCCTCCTGGTGAAGAAGCAACATTAACCCTGTAGGGCAGCGGGTAAAGTTGGTGAGGAGGTGTTGCTCCTCTGACTGTTTTTTACCTCCAGTCAAACGGTGAAGAAGCAAAATTAACCCTGTAGGGGGACCCCTCACAGACACCCCTGACCATCTGAGCATATGAACACTAAGACACTGTCAGCAGGGGGCGACACTTCCGGGTGCGGTGCATTTCTTAATTTTACACTATATTGGACAAAACTACATGCCGTGTCTGACCAACAACAGTGGTCTTTTAAATCCTGTCACAAGTGGTAGACTCCCCTACCCCTGAAATAAATGAATTCGTTTGTCAGCTGAACCTTATTTCCGGTTTGGTCACTTCCGATGTTCTAACCTACTTCCTTTTCCGCATGCTCTGACCAACTTCCGGTTTGGAGTCCAGCCACTTCCTGAAGCGTCAGTCCGTAAGTTTCCACTTCTGTTGATCTTTTAACTGTAGAACTGTAGTTGTTTCGTTCACCTGTCGGTTTTTACCGTGGAGAAATAGTCAGACACTTTAGCCTTAGTATCGAAGGAGGCTCAACATAACTGGCTTTGCAGCTATGTTCTGAACTAATAAACCGTCATAAACCGTGTGACGAGAGATCAACGTTTAAACGTCAACCCTTATCATATAAAATAAACCAGAGCAACAACTGAATTTGTTCGTTTTCCAATGATGATCTGAGTGTGTATGTACATTTGTGATGCGCCGAATATTCGGCCACCGGAAATCTCCGGCCGAAAGTGCATTTTCGGTTTTCGGCCGAAAGACGTAAAGGCGTACAGTGACGTAAATAACGTTACTTATTATCTGTGACAAATTAGTGCTAGTTACTAGGTTGGCTTAATTACTATTTCATGTTTATATTAATATTGATCATAGAGAATTTTATCAAGAAAGGCTGCACCACACCGCCCTCTAGTGGGTACAGTGAGCCCTCGACGTCACCTGTGAGGGCAGCGTACTGAGTGAAGTAAATAAACCCTTCGGTGACTCCTGCTGTCTGTGTGGATGAAGATGTCACAACAAATGCTGACGTCATGACCAGGTCATGAGCAGCGGGTAAACTTTCCCCACATCGGTGCAGTGGTGGAACCGATGGTCCCTGTTTGCAGTAACAAGTAAAACCAATGTTTATATTGTGTGGAACTGTTGATATGTGGAACTGTTGCTGTGTAGAGGCTCTCCTGTGGAGGATGTTGTTGTGTTTATCTGACAAACCTGTGAAGTGAGGAAATGTAAATGATTCTTTGGTTGACCTCGGTGACCTTCCTGTCCTCCGTCTCCTGCCTCCTCACCTTGTTGTTTGTCGTCTCTGTGACCCTCCGTCTGTGGCCCGTGGTCACCGGGACAACAGCTTTAACCCGCTGACCCATGTTCCCGTGGCCTACCTGGGCCATTAGGGGGCCCCCCCTCAACGAGCCTCTCCTCTGGGTGGAGAGGGTCCTCATGTCTGCTCTGAAGGTCAATGAGGTCCAGCCTGGTTCTCTGCTCTGACTCCGAGGCCAGCTGTAGGAGGCGCTGCAGTTGTCAGAGCTGCATGTTCTTCTAGTAGAACCACCATTGTGGAGAGTCACTGCGGGGGGGTCGGGGGCTTCAGTCCCAGTCTCCATCACAGTCCAGCAGCCCTTCAGAGAAGCAGATGAAAACATTTCCGTGACATTTTTTTTTTATCTTCCTAGAAAAACAGCGAACCAAACCCTGGTCAGGAGCCGCAGGTTTTCCTCATTTTTTCCCCCCTCGTTGTCTCAGCCCCCAGGGTGGTGTGCACCTGTTCCTCACAATCTTTCTGCCTCTTCTGTGAGGGGATTGGGGTGAGGAGTGGAGAGGAGAGAAGGAGGGGGGAGGGGAGGTGAGGGAGGGGGGATAGTGCTAGGAGGTAAATACTCCAGTAGCCACTTGTCTGCCTCCTCAGGGGGAAAAGGTACATAGATTATGTCCACACTAATCCTCTGTCACAAAAAGGCATTTTACTTCAATGCAGTAGTTGGGTTTCAGTGGATACACTCTACCCCACATGTACACACACACACACACACACACACATTTCCCATCCATATGTGCACAAGGACATTGGTGCAATTAACCTTTAGCTGATTCCGTCTGAGTACTCTGTGTGATTGAATGGAGCTGGAGTGTTCCCTAAGCCATAACCACAACCCTGACTGAGTGATTGAGTGGTCTCTGTGTGTGTGTGTGTGTGTGTGTGTGTGTGTGTGTGTGTGTGTGTCAGAATTAGGACCAATGGAGTCCCTCCTCCAGACAGTGAGTTTAAACTCCAGTGTGGTGGGCTGGTTCTGGTGTGTGTGTGTGTGGGGGGGGGGTGTCCTGTGGGTCCAGTCCACAGTTCTGGACGTCTGTCGTCTGTCGTCTGTCACTGGAATCCTCCAGTTATGTCCAGGCGTAACTGAAAAACTAGAAACACCTGGTTGTTGTGAGTGGATCACATGGGTTTAACAGCCAATCAGAACTCTCTTTGTCTGAGTCCTGGTCCACTCAGATCTTTACTGCTGGTCCTGCAGCGCCCCCTCATGTTGTCAATGTCTGATGACTGTTTTAGCAACAGGTGTGTCTTTTATCACGACACCGAGGACAATCGCACCGCAAACTAGTTGGACCTCAGTCTGTGGACCTCAGTCTGTAGGCCTCAGTTTGTGGACCACCTCAGTCTGTGGGCCTCGGTCTGTGGTCCCCAGGCTGTGGGCCTCACCCTGCGGACCCCAGTCTGTAGGCCTCAGTTTGTGGGCCTCAGTCTGTGGACCGCAGTCTGTGGTATGTGGGCCTCGGTCGGTGGACCTCAGTCTGTGGGCCTCAGCCTGTGAACCTCAGTCTGTAGGCCTCAGTTTGTGGGCCTCAGTCTGTGGACCGCAGTCCTTGGTCTCTGGGCCTCGGTCTGTGGTCCCCAGGCTGTGGGCCTCACCCTGCGGACCCCAGTCTGTAGGCCTCAGTTTGTGGGCCTCAGTCTGTGGGCCTCAGCCTGTGAACCTCAGTCTGTAGGCCTCAGTTTGTGGGCCTCAGTCTGTGGTATCTGGACCTCGGTCTGTTGTATCTGGACCTCTTGTGTCAGACCAGTGAAAACACACCTGTCGTCACACGTTCTGACTGTACTTGTGTTAATGTACTGTTGAACTGTTGCTGTTGTACAGTAATCAGGCTCTAAGGTGTGTGTGTGTGTGTGTGGCTGTATGTGTGTGTGTGGCAGTGTGTGTGTGTGCCTGTGTGCCTCCAACTCACACAGCTCTATTAATTAGCTGTTTGATGCTGTTAATTGGGCTCCCACTGCTGCACTAATTGATAACGCCGCTGCCTCTGACAACATGGAACACAAACAGAAAAGTCTCTTGACGACAAACCATTCAAGCTGCACCGTCAAAGAGTGTCGGCTGAAAACAGAGGAGGAGAGCGAGGGTGTTAGCAGGGGAAAGGTCTGAGGAGGAGAAAGAAGAGAGACAAAGAGAGAGAGGGGAGGGGGGGCGCTGCGCCTCCTGCTCCTCCTCATCTTGCCCGTTGT